TAAGGAGTTATCCAGCATTATTCAATGACTTTATGGTAAGTGAAATAGAAGACAGAGGTTCCTGAAATGTAAAGTAAGTGCATAATCACCATCGAAGATCTTATATGAAGTATGGAGGTCCAATTCAAGGCCATATCAACGGCGTGGTAGGGTGTCGCAAGCATGCCCAAATGCTCTTGAGGGTGAGCTTGTGCCTATATAAATCCATTACATGTTTTGAACATTTAGAAGCCATACAAGGTGATGGTTAACGCGTCCATAATTCATGATGTACTGCTCTTATAAATCGAAATAAGCATGTTCGTCTGTTCCTTGCTCTACCCAAGTCTCTTCTCCTGAGGAAGGCTGTTTTTCTCCTCCTCGGTCAAATTGACATCAAAAATCTCAACCAAACCTCGGATACGCTCCTCTTCCGTCTCAAATTTCTTAACAACTTTACGGTCACTACCAATTGTCTCCCTAACAGTGTCCTTGAACAAGGTGAGGTTTCCGATAATCACCTCCTTGTCCTCATCCATAATCATCTTAGTACAGGTGATATACCTGGTGAAGAATGATCTCGGGTTCGTCGATGTGAACCAAGACATGACCTCGTAGTCCTGGGGCAGGAACTCTGTTTCTGTGAAGCAATACACAGGTGTCCATGTCTTTTCACCCTCTGCTGGGTTGTAACAGACGTCGTAACACCACATTTTGGTTCCGTGGGAAGGATCCGTGGCATGTGTCTCTGAGATGGACCGTCTTTGAATGCGGATCTCACGCGGTGCAATACTCAGAGTCTCGAACCCATCTTTGAGCGGAAAAGGGAGATTAGGGCCCATGGAACCCATTCCAACATCGACGCCGTACCATTCGTTGTCCAGGAGAGCGAGAAGAAGCATATGGTTCCAGCCATCGTAAGTAGCGCTCTGATTCTTGCGAACCTCTGGGTAAGGGCTCATGGCGCGTGATACACGACCACCGCAGTTACGCACTTCATAGCCAAGCGAGCGAAGTGCAGTGCCGAGAAAGATGTTGTTCTCCATGCAGCGCCCTCCTCGACGTCGAGTTACAATCTTGGTGTATAGCTCTGCAGGGTCCAGGGTGACGATTTTGTGAGGATCATAGTGAAGTACGAGATTCTCGAACGGGACGTTACATGTGTGATAGCGTGTTATGGCTTGCAATAGAGGGAGACCGTGTTCTTTTGTTCGGGCAAGCGAGGGGTTGTTCAACACACTGTTGCCAAGGTCTAGAAACCTCTGAGGAAGCTTGATCGTTTTGAAGTAGTCTTGTAGCTGGGAAGAGGTGTAGCGCACTCGGGCGGCCTCTTCAGGAAGCTGAGTGAGGGCAGTCGGATCCGCGAGACGAGCCATGGTATGAGGAATGGAGGAAGAAGCGGGGTTGTGTTCAATGATAAGATAACGGTTTACTTGATACAATTCAATTCAATGTGTCCAACTCTTGCATAACAACATTCAAGTATTATACAAGATGGTATCTAATATTCGGACCGAAACTCCGCAATGACGATCCGGTAGATAGAGATTAGTTATCATCAGTAAGACCTAGTCAAGCCTCCAAGAACTGCACGATTCGTGGCAAAGTGGGGTAGGCCGGGGAGTTAAACCGGCCCAGTCCGGCGGACCCAACGTTACACCACATTGAGCCAAGTCCAGACTTGTACAAGGGCGACAAGCTTTTGTTCTCGATAGCTTGAGATGAAAAGGGAGTTTTATTTTTACTCTTACTTTTGTCTTGAACAGTCGGTTCCTTTGCCAATATCTATACCTTACATATAGCTCCAGCGGGAAAGGCTCAGGTTACCGATTCAAGTCAAGTCATGCCAGCATTGCCAGCCTGCCATCAATTTTATTCAATACGTCACAAGCTGTGTAAATATGTCATATATTGAACTGCCCACCTTATCCTCCACAGGGAAACCCCTCCCATAAACCGTTCGCAAAACTCATGCCATCAACAGGAGATTGATGAAAATGATCAAAAACTGCCGGATCAAACATTTCCGACGCAAAAAGCTGAAATGGATCCATGCTATCGAGATTAAAAGACATAGCGTCTGCAGAACCAGCAGAGATCGACCCGTTATCGTGGATCGAAGTTGATGCTGCGTCTGGGGCAGTTTCTAAAGCCACGTTAGTAAAAGGACCAGAGAGGAAGAGTGTCGATGACGAACCTCGTATGCCGCACATTCGTGAGAGTCTACGGATGTATTCAAGACAACTCAGCACGAGGCTATTCTCGTGATCCAAGTTGAGAAATATCGTTTCTGCTTTGCTGAGGAGGAACTTCATGTGGCTGACAGATGCTTCGTCAACTACAGTGTCTCCATGCTGGGCCCAGAGTAATCGCCCACAGATGACCAGTGAGGCTGTGAAGACTAGACCAAAGAATCAGCAGAACGCCTTACAACTCACTTCGAGGTATTCTCACCATAGTAGAGTGTGAAGTACCATACTCCGAGATTATTCTTGCTCGTTGCATCTACACTGATAACAGAATGAACAATGTCAATCGTAAGTTGTGCAGAGCGAATACATTCATGCGCTTCGGCCATGGCGAGCTGTATCAAGTACGATGACGCTTCACTCGCTGCGTCGTCTTGTCGGAATAAATGTCGAATCGTAGCGCTTAGCAGTGGTTTATGTATGAGAATACTCAGATTATGATATCTCATCGTAAGAATAACACGAAGTCTATTCGCTTTTGTGTTTTGCAAAAGAACATCCGACTCAACGTCGCACAGTTGAAGATGTGGAGGGAGATTGGCTGCCCAGAGCCGGAGCTGCTTGCGGAGTTCGCCTGAGGCCTTGAGATGGGCCATCTCATCAGGTTCTGAGTCGTGATCGAGATTTGCGCCGTACTGGATGGCCAGAGACTTGCTCATCACCTGGTACATTTTGAATGACACAGCTAAGAAATCACCAGATAGATCGGCGGTATCCCCCGAAATCGCCGGTGACCATCCAGATGCTGGCTCTCGCCTCGTCATCTGCTCATCTGGTATGCTCGCGGGCCTACCCACAGCCGTGCTCAGTACCTTGTCAAGGCAGTAAATAACCACCCAGGTCCGACGACGATACTCTTTCTGTACAGGATCAAGCGCCCTCTCAGTGGACTCGCTGTGAAGTCCTAGCGCCATGGCTGATCGGATAACAAGGCCGTAGTTGTTCCAGGCTTGCACGGAGCGCGAAGTCCCCTGGCAGTGAAGAACGACCAAGATTAGGTAATGAACTATCTCCAAACTTATGACGCGCTTCGATAGCTCGTTGCAGAGACCCAGTGCTCTCTTGTAGAAAGCGTTGGACCTCTCGAAGCGCTTCTTGGACGATGAAGTGTAGTCCCTATCAAAGTTGCTCGCCATGGCGAATACCATGTTCAGAGTTCCAAGCCAGGTTCTGCGAGCTCTCGTGAAGCCGTTGAGTCTGCATTCATTATATGTCTTCCTCATCGTTTCCTCGTGGATGAAGGGGAAGACAACACCGGCTGTGTCGAAGTACAGATCGAGCAGAGTGTCCATCTCCTCGACAGACGGCAGGGCGGTAGGCAGTGAGTCTAGCGGTGTTGCTGAGCCTCCCAAAGAGCCTTTGCTTTGAGAGACACTGGCTACGACACTTTCTCCCAGCACAGAAGCTCTGTCGAGCCCGGACGGTGCGCCCGGTGAGTGGTGCGCAACCGCGATGGCGCGAAGAAGCAGTTGCGTAAAGTTAATGTTGGAGGCTTCGCCATAAAACGCGGACGTCTTTTCCTCGACAAACGTCATGGCCATTCCGTTGGGGATGCCTTCTTCGTCCTGAGGCTCTTCTAGGCTTGTCGCACATGTGCCTGTCCCTGCTTGTGATGGCGCAGATGCTTTGGTTGGTGCAGTTGGTGCAGTTGGTGCAGGCGAAGGCATAGAATGGCCAACGTTGATGTTTCCATGGTGACATGGTGAGGTATTCGCGTTATTACAAGGGGAGAGATGGCCCTTGAGAACATCGTTCAACCGCTGGAGATTATGTTCGACAGAACTGACACGCTGTTCGAGGTCGGATACGTAGTCCTTACGAACAATGACATTCGTGGCAGAGTCGCCAGGCTCGTACAAGCAGTCGAAGCCAAGGGACAGGCACGACGAACATGACGGGCGCTGTCCATCGCATCTACCGTGATGTCAGCCCATTTCCGGAAAAGAAAGTACTTGATGGTATGGTATGGTATGGTATACCTCGACTTGCGTGACCGACAGGCATTACATGCTAAGCCAATACGTCTCCTCTTGTTTGTCGGTGGACCCGTCTCAGATTGATCCTGCTCCTGTTCTGGTGGTTTCCGAGACGGTTCTGGCATCACGAGCTAACGCGAGAGTACGAAATGTGGGGTTGGGAAATGGGGAGGGAAGAGGTGCCGGCGATGCCGGGTTCGTCGGGGAAGCGAGCGAACTTGAAGAGTGTTATAGAAAGGTCTCTGGGAACTAGCGGGGTATCTCGGCCCAAAACCCGGCGTTATCAGCGATACGTTATCGGGTCCAGTGGAGTCTAGGCCCAGGACCGCGCGATTGTAGCGGGCTTGTGGCTTGGATTACAGGCAAGATTAGTTTAGGGCATTTGCCAGTACTAGACCGATGGTCATGGCTGTCATGGTCATTCTCAGCCTGAATAACAGGGAAAGAAACGAGTACTCTCTACGCTGTGGTGCCGATAATACATACGCATTGCATTAGTTTTCAAAGTTATTTGTCAAAAGCCACAGTTAAATGTGAGTTAGCGCTAGGCTATCTTAGCGATAAAGCCTTGCGTCCTGGGTAACCACTCTCTTGGGAAATGAAATTCCGATGTATAGGGTAAACTTGTCTGAGGATCGGGCATGACCCTCATCACCTATCGTGAAACAATAGGTAGTTATGGAATATAATTGACACGTGTCTAAACATACTATAAGAGACCTTTATCTATGACTGTACTGTAATTATTTTAGAGATGAACACCGTGTTCTTGGTGATTCGCCTTTTGCTCCGTCCTCTAAAACCCCGAATTGACAAGCTTCCAAAACTCAACACCTTGTTCCCATAAAATGTCCTTCCAAACATCGGTCTCACCATCACTTCTCCATCTTCTCATTTCTTTAGGACTCGCAGTCCCCCAATTCACTTCATCGCCCCTAACAAATGCCGCAAAACTCTCATTCCAACCCTTCAACCACGTCTTCTCTAGATCACTTAGACCTCCCTCATACCCGCACCCCCATAACCAAATGGGTATATCAGTGAGATGCGTAACTCCCCACTCAAGTGGAATCTTTTCTGCTACACAGTCAAGTCTCTTCTCCAATCGATATCGAAAAATGTCTTTACCGGCTTCAAGACCGCCTGCGAACAAGGCATTGTGAAAGCCGCGCTGAAGATAATGGACTTGGACATTGGCGTAGATGCGCCCGAAGAAGTCTTCCCAGTTATCGTACCCCGCTGGTAAGTTCTTCGAGGATCCGCAATAGTGGTTCATGATCTTTTCGGTAACTTCAGGGGAGAAATCTGCTAGAAGTCTTTGGTACACGGCGGAATAAGACTCTTGAGGAGTGCGCCAGCGACGATACATGATGTGCTCACTCTCGCACTCACCGTTTATCAGCCTTATCCCGCGATTCTTCATTTTTTTGGCGAAGTCCCCATCGTTGATCTTATCCATCAGGTCAATGGGATAGAAAGTGTCATCTGCCAAGACGCGGAATTCTGATATTCTCATTCCTGTTTGGGCTTCGACGAGTCTCTGACAAGGAACGGCTCGTAAACTGGCCAGTTTCTCCTCATCTGAAAGCTCCAGATTGATGTCGAGTCTCGCGAGTAGCTCGTCACATTGTAGCTGTTGATCCTGCAAACTTTTGGGCCTGACACCTGTGCTGTTGGAGAACATTGCCACTCGCCTTATGATTCCCTTTTCCTCAGGAACGCGGAAGAGCTCATGAGCCAGTTGTTGAAAGGTTGAGTAAGCGCCAGCGGAGTAACCTGCTACTGTGATATTTGCGGTATCACCGCCAAAGAATGATATGTTCTCATGCGTCCATTCCAAGGCCAATCTTTGATCCCATAGACCATAGTTTCCGGTAGCCTCTCCATTAGAGCTCGCTTCGGCAGCTAATTCCCTGCTCGCGAGGAACCCAAACACATTGAGCCTATAGGATGGCATGACCATTATTGCGCGGAATGCAGATTCGCTTAGAAGCGACACCAGGTCTTCTGGCTCTGTGTTGCTCGTACCGACTTGGAGGAAACCCCCATGGATGTAGAAACATACGGGCCATCCATTCTTGGGAGGTGGACCAGCAGGGACCCAGATGTTTAGTTGGAGGCAATCTTCGCTGATGACAGAAGGGTCTGGCGTGTTGCTGCTGGGAGGCTGGGGGCAAACCCTCGTGCCACCTGTGAACTTCCCTGGCTCGGTTGCTGTGCCGTATCGATAATGCTTGGGGAGCCGCCGGGGGACTCGGAAGCGCCACTGTCCAGCCGGGGGCAGAGCGTATGGGAGACCGCCAAAGTAGTGCACGGCTGGAGCGCCATGGGAGGTGATGGTTAACCCCTCGATATGTCCCAATGGCCCTGCATTGAAGATGTAGCTCTCTCGGGTGTAGTTGTCAGACATGGTGATCAAAGTGGAACGCAAGAATTAGCACAACGATGAAACTGTATGCACAATTAACGGACTGTAGTCTCAGCTATCTAATTATTGTTGGGGTTTCACTTTTACTTTGAACAACAAATCGACCAGTTAATACCCTCGTTTGTTCGCAGGCGGATCAGATGCCGAGTCTGTCGGAACTACTTTTAGAAGCCGATCTTGCATATCCGATCTCCCGCTTTAGCTAATTTCACATCAGAGGAATCACAAGCTGGCATTTGACGAAGCGACCCGCTCGGTCCCCGCCGATTCCCCGATAGCGCTTCTCAACATTTGGGAAGAGTGTCTTAGCTTTGACTTTACGCAATTGAAAAGACGTCGCAGAGTCGGCCTCAGCATGTTCACAAGAGATTCTCATCTTATCTAATCTGTCGAAAATGACCATTACTCTCCATCGTTCGGCCTTCTTTGAGGCTATCCTCAAGCATGAGGGGTCTTCGATCGCTGTAGTGGAGAATGAATCTGGCGCAAGCTTCTCCTACAATTCATTGCTTAATAGCGTTGCGCGTGCCAAAGAACAGTTACTCGCCAAGACGGGGAAATGCGATACTAGTATTTCTGGCGAGAGAATTGCTTTCTTGGTAGAAAGTGGCTATGAATATGTTGGTATGTCTTTATACTTTACCCTCGCCATCAACGTCTCTTGTGTTCAGCACTAACCCGGCCATGATCCTTCTAGTGACACTCTTGGCCATTCTCGCCTGCAACGCCATTGCTGTGCCACTAGCCCCTTCTTTCCCTGCGCCTGAGCTAAGATACATCATCAACAACAGCGAGGCTCTCGCTCTCATTTCTTCAGCCAAGTATGTTTCCAAGGCCGAGGAAGTACTCGCGGAAGGCTTGGATAGCGTCCCCTTGTTCTACCAACTCGATGGAACGCGAAATGTCTCTACGGTTGAGGAAGAAGTCAAGCTGCGTGACTTCTCCGATGCACCTCGCGGTGGCATGATGCTTTTCACCTCCGGAACAACTGCACGACCCAAAGGTGTCGTTCTGTCTCAGACAAACCTCACAGCTCAAGCAAAGTGTCTTCTAGAAGCATGGAAATATGCTCCAAGCGATAGACTCTTGCACGTCTTGCCACTTCATCACATCCATGGCACCGTCAACGCTCTTCTCACACCTCTGCTGGCAGGTAGCAGCATTGAGTTCATGTACCCGTTCAACGTGAACTCCGTCTGGACACGACTGGCTGCGCCGTTCTTATCAACTGAACAAGTAAACGAGAACAATGGTGTAAAAAAAGATGAGACAAAAACGCCCATTACTTTCTTCACCGCTGTCCCGACGATCTGGTCACGAATGCTGAAAGCACACGAATCTTTATCGCACGATATGCAAACGGCTGGCAAAATAGCCGTATCCCCGACGAACCTCCGACTCAACATCTCGGGCTCAGCAGCCCTCCCGAAACCTATCCGCGATGGTTGGATGCATCTCACAGGCGGAAACGTACTTCTCGAGCGCTATGGAATGACCGAAGTCGGAATGGCGCTCTCTTGCGGTCTTGAGACTGCCGATCGCGTTGATGGCTCTGTAGGCTGGCCACTGCCGTCCGTTGAGGCGCGGCTCATGGAAACAGACGATGAGACTGGAGTTCAAAGAATCATTGAGCACGGTGCTGAGATCGATGTTCACTCTAGAAAGGAGCGTATTGGAGAGATTCAGCTTCGTGGGCCCACGGTGTTCACTGGATATTGGCGCAACCCTGAGGCCACAGCCAAAGAATTCACAACCGATGGATGGTTCAAGACAGGCGATATCGCCATTCGACGAAAAGTCCCGGAATCTGGTCTTGGAAGATCAGGCTCCTGGGCGAAAGGACCAGCATATTTCATCCAAGGCCGTCGCAGTGCAGACATCATCAAGACAGGTGGCGAGAAGGTTTCAGCCCTCGAGGTCGAGCGCGAGATCCTCGCCCTTCCTGAAGTCGATGAGTGTGCCGTCGTTGGTCTACCCTCTGAGGCATGGGGGCAAAAGGTCGCAGCTGTGATTGTTCTCAGCAGCAAGGCCGGCGAATCGATCAGTCTACAAAGTTTGAGGAGTGCGTTGAAGACGAGGATCACAGCGTATAAAATCCCGCAGGATATGCAGATCGTTGAGGTTTTGCCACGGAATGCTATGGGTAAGGTTAATAAGAAGGAGTTGGTCAAGAGTGTTTTTGGAGAGGCGGAGAAGATCAGGAGGAGAAGCATTGATCTTCAAACAAAGCGGCCTGTTCTAAATGGTCAACGTGGTTAAGTTTATTAAAGGGGGGCATGTTTTGAATCAAGTCAGTAATATTTAGCCTTCTATTTAAATTCGTATTCAGCTATGTTAAGGGTCCATTACTTGACTTGACCTGTGTAGGCAAACAAGGAACATTGGTACGGCTCATCATAGATGATGTAGAGGCCATCGGCCTAGACAACTGTGATAGGGTTGAGGGGTCAAAAGAGGCTTCAGCCTCAAGGCCACAAAGGTAAAGAACACCAAAAAAACACATACGGGCAAAATACTCGTCGCCCTCACTGTTGCCTGGCCTAGACAACAGATGAGCGGATTCGTGTTCCCCTGGTAGAGGCTTGTTGAAGAGCCCACTCTAAGATAGCGGATGGATATGGTGAGTAAATGGCAGATATCATATTTACTATAATAAACTATGAATCTGCTCAGCCGCGCCGAGCACCTTCTCCTCTTCAAATCTCCGCCCAACAATCTGCAAGCCTACATGACGCCCTTCCATCGCCACAGGATCATACAACTGCTGATTCCAGGCATCGATCTTATTCCGCGGAACATGTTCCCAGAAACTTTCATCATTCCCGCCCTTGGACGTCTTTCCCGCTGGAAATGTCAAGGCGGTGTAATCCAGCAAGTTGAATATCTTGGTATAGCCTGTCCAGCGACAAGACCCGTGAGGCACTGCGGTATGAGGCATAGTTGGAACTAGCAATACGTCAACAGAGCGTCCAGTAGGTGATCTCTTGTTATTCCACATGTCTTGGTAGGCCTCTTGGACAGCAACCTTTCGCTTGTTGAGTTGCCAATACTCGAAGACAGAGATGGGTGTGCCGCGGTTGACGAAGGCTTCGATCTGCGGAACGAACGGTTCACCGCCTTCCGAGACAGCTCTTCGGATATCCTCACCCCCATCGGCGGAATAGTAACCATCCTGCCCTAAGTCAGACACTCCCGATTCGTTGCAACAGAGTATGACTTACCATGATATCTATAATGCTAGAATTCAAGCGCGAGTCCCATTCTATCACTTCGTGACCAGCAGCTTCCAACTTTGTTATCAGGTCTCTGAATAACCGCTCAATAGGCGGATGAACCTTGACCATGCCGTCATCAAGCATTGCTCCAATCACCAGTCGTCTTGTCGCAAAGCTCTGGAAGGCATCCTCCCTCCAAAGGATTGGTGGTAGCTGAGAGTCCGTTGTCCACGGTTCAGCCTCAATCGCCAACTTTGTAACGAGTTTGAGGGAACTTAGAGATCTAGCCATTGGTCCTACAGCTGATGGAATGTGCTGCTGCCCTTCAAGTGTTACCTCAACACCGCGATAAGAGAGACGGCCACTCTAACATTGGTCAGCATCTCTCCAATGAATAGGTGATCAGACAAGACTTACACTAGGCTTCAGACCCCAAAGGCCGTTCATGTGACACGGAATCCGGATAGAGCCGCCAATATCTGTTCCCCAACCGACCATTGAAGCACAGGTTGCCAACATAGCTGCTTCCCCGCCAGATGATCCTCCTGGAGTGAGTTTTGGATCATCTGGATGGGTCGTCAACCCCCAGAGAGGGTTATCAGTCTCACACCACTAAAAATCTTGTCAGATGGTGACATCCATACACTTGTACTCTGCTTACCATGATACTCTGAGGAAGATTAGTTTTCCCGATGATGACAGCCCCAAGCTTCTTCAACGTTTGGATAAGCAGTGCATCGTCGTCCGCTGGTGTAAATGCCTTTCCAACGTAGCCCAACGTCGAGTCCAAACCCTTAATATTGAATTGATCTTTCACTGTGACTGGAATACCATGCAGCGGACCTATTAGTCGACCATGTTCTTTCTGAAAGCCATCGAGCTTGCTGGCTTGCTTAAGAGCATCGTCAAAGCAAACTTCTGTTAGGCAATTTGTCTGTTGAAAGTTAGACAAATACGTAGCAGGGTGAAAGAAAGTTTAATACCCTTTTTTGCGCTTCGCAGGCTCTGCAGTGACCGTTAGGATGGGAACTTCAACAACAGTGAACCTGGACTTCCCTTTTGATATAGGTACGGATCAATTCGACAGCGGATACCGCTCCATCGCGGATAAGACTTGTTATACTGTCGATATCAACCGCTTCAGATGCGATTTGAGTCAAACTGACATTCGTCTCTGCTGTCAAGTGTTTCTCAATTTGCGCATCTCGAGTCGCCCGCTTTTCTTTGACTATTTCTTCCCAAGATCTATTCATCTTGGTTGGAGATACGTTTGGAATCATTTCGAAATGATAAAAAAACTCCCTAATTTCTTCTGTCTCGTAAAAATGCTTATGCATCTGGTTCTCTGGCCTTGTACTGCTTACTGCTTGCTGTCTCGGTGGAGTCGTGAACCGGATGCGGTTGTGCTTGGTGTCGCTCGCGGAGATAGCGGAACAGCGCCGGCTCAGCCGAAACGGTTCAGTCCACCACGCACTGTCTCGCAAGCCTTGGCCTATCGAGGATCCAGCCACGAATTGACATAGCAGAAAGCGGAGGATATGGCGTCCGGGGAAAGATCCGGGGCTCGCCACTTTGACCCCAAGTACTCGGTTCTGCTGCCTCTTATCTCTGTGGTCTGATTCTGGAGTGGTAGCTCCGAGAGCCGATGCCGGTCTTACCCGTGCTCAATCATGCTGCACGGTTTCAAACAGGTCGTGCTTGGTTAGAGACTAAGGTTGTAGATGACGATATTCATATACTAGCCAGTCTGTTCAACCACTGTTTGCGACAAATTAGTTACCACGACATCGAACGTCCCTGCCATCATTGATCTCCAGATTGAAACGCCACGACACAATGGCAAAGCCTTCTCGCAATGAGTTCCACGTCGCCATCGTCGGTAAGACTCTTTCACAGGCCCCATTCAGGCTGGTGAGGCTAACTCTGCAGGTGCCGGCATTGGTGGCCTCGCTTTGGCTATGGCTCTGTACAAAAAAGGCATCTCTTTCACGCTATACGAGGATGCTAAGGAATATTCGGTAGTAGGGTAAGCCGCTAATACTGCGTTTCGCTGAACCATCGCTAATGATCATTATCTTACAGCGCTGGCATTGGATTCGCGCCCAATGGCATGCGCACGATGGATCTCATCGAGCCGGGTTTCCGACCTCTTTATGAGGCAATTTGTGTAGGAAATAAGGGTGAGAAGGCACAGGATATCTTTTTTGAGGGCATGCTACTTGAAAATGGTCTCGGTAAGGCACAAATCGCTTGAAAAACTGAATCTCTTGGGCTGACTGGACAAGGTCGTAATAAGCCTTGGTACGGCAATTCTGGATGGGGTCACCCAGATTACATTCGCAAATCTGTGAGATCTCCTGACAAAACAAGAGGAAGCTTGGTGCTAATTATAGACTGTAGGCGCATCGAAAGACGCTTCTCGACATCATGACTAGTTTCATCCCGATCGAAAATGTAAAGTTCAACAAACGTCTTACGAATATTGAGCAGCGATCCGATGGGGTTACTCTGTCATTTTTAGATGGCACCACAGCCGAGTGCTCAGTTCTTGCTGGTGCCGATGGCATCAAGAGCACAGTCAGAGCCAACGTTCTTGAACACCACCCTAGCCAGATCGCACCCGTGTATGCAGGTGCCTATTGCTATCGTGCTGTCATTCCCATGTCGGAAGCCTACGAAATTCTCGGTGATCTCACCGACGTTGCGAAGATCTATTTCGGACCTGGACGCGGCGCTGTTACCTATCGTATCTCAGGAGGCGATGTGAGTCTACTACACTCTGATATGTTTGTAGCAACGCTAACCATCTCTTGTCATAGGAGTTCAACTACCTCCTTTGTGTCGCTGATTCCCCGGACGGTTGGAAGCTTAAGGGTCCTGTTACAGAGACCATATCCCACGAGGCCATGATGGCTGACTTCGAGGACCCACGCGTCGACGATCGATTTCGTCAACTCCTTGCTAAGGCCAAGCCCGTCAAATGGGGTTTCTTCCACCATATTCGCACAGCATCATACTACCGTGATCGCGTAGTCCTAGTCGGCGACAGCGCTCACGCCTCGCTGCCCTTCCAAGCCGCGGGAGCAGCCCAGGGTCTGGAAGATGCTCTGGTTCTGTCCAACATTCTCGCAGAAGTCGCCAAGGTGCCTGAGCGCGGCGCAGATCTTGCGCCTTATATCCAAGCAGGACTATCTGCCTACGACTCCGTTCGACGTCCTCGTGCGCAAAAGCAGCTGGAGCAGGCCGCTGAAGTTGGGCGTATGGTCTTCTTTCAGCATGAGGAGGCGGGTGCGGACATGGAGAATATTCTGCCTAGATTGCAAAAGGGGAGGTTTAACTGGTTGTGGTTTCATGATATGAATGATGATGTGCAGGAGGCTATTAAGAGGATGCACAAGCAGATTAACATAGGAGATGCGCCTTCTGTTGCGAGGATATGATACATGGTTGTGAGTCAGGGGGACCTTTCACTGAGTAGGATAAGAGACTCGCTGTAACTTTGATCAACTCTCATGATGGTTTGTCTTTGCTTCTGATTCTTTCTGGCTAGTCATACATACACTAATACTAAGTTTAAGTCGCCTGAATGCTGAAGAGTCGCAGACCTCGTACACCTGTTGTACTGTGTCCATGGTGCTCTGGCCTCGAAGAGAAACTGACGCTGGTAGACGTTGGCTATGATTACCCTTGAGCTATAGGGGTTGCTTGACAGGATGAAACTATCATAGGAAACATCTCTGCACGGGGAACACTATCAATATATCGCGAGGAGAGGATATGTGGTGCTGCCAGCATAGCTAATAGGTTAAACTTTGACTATCTACTTGTTCATGCTAAGTACACGATTATACTGGTAACTGCAATCATTGTTCTGAGAAAAGTCTGAACTTATGATGGCAGAATGGCATAGGCGGACTGTTCCACTTTGGCGAGTACTCTTCTTTGTCATACTCCACGACGGGTCCAAGAACACGCAAGTCAGAACCAAACACAGAGTCCGAGAAGTGTACATAATACTTCTCATCCTTGATCAGATCGCTATTCTCATCCCAAGCCTCCAAGATTGAATGATACAGAGGCGCAACGTGGATGTCGCTGGACCACGTTGGGAACTGATACCTGTCGTTGATCTTCTGAACCACCTCCCTTTGATACAGCCGGACTTCGGGATCTAGAGTCGCCATGTTGTAAGCCGCAAGTGAGGCGTGGCCATGATATGAGCCTCCAAACTTGGTTCGGTCCCGAATACCACACATAATGGTTAGAGCAGTCAGGATTCCAGTCGACATATCTGAGATGGGAAGACTGGGTAGTACACCCTGACCCTCAGGACAGCCGAATGACTGACCCATGACATATGAGCTTCCAGCTGCGGCATCTGCAACTTGTTGCCATCCAGGCCGCTCAGCATAGTATCCATCAGGACCATAGCAGTTCTCATCAACGTAGACGATTCCCTTGCCTCTTTTGTTTGCCAATTCGAGTGCCGCCTCAAGACCGAAGCCTCTTCGAGCCAATGATCTCAATCTGTAACCCTGCAAGATGACGTCGGATTGTTCGAACAGTTGAATCAACCTTTGATGGTCAGCTGGGTCTTCAAGATCCAAATCTATGGTTGTCTTGCCAGCCATTAGGGAAGAAGGTTGGGCTGGCGTGTAGTCTTTCAGCTTGGATGAGTTGACACGGATGACCTCGGCACCTAGGGATGCAAGAGCGGCGCCAGCAGCTGCACCAGCTATGATGCGAGTCAACTCGACGACTTTGATACCAGCAAGAGGTCTCTTATCCTCCATTACGGGCAAAGAGACAGGGGGAAGTGCTGGACACTGTGCCTGTTTCTTGTAATTGACGAGCGGATGTCGTGAGAGAGACTTTCCCATCTCAGTCTGACGCCATCCTCCGGGCGAGTAAACGACTGAACCCGAAAGACCATTCTCTACCATGAGCTGCTCGATTTCTCTGGCGCGATATGTGCGGACACGCTCCTGGATGAGCTCGTATGCTGCGTCGTTGGTACGGATCTCGCTATCCAGATCTTTGCTGATTCCGATAAGGGCCAGCATCTTCCACGAATCAAGCGACCCGTGAAGTTGGAACCACACGCCCTTATCAGCAGTCTCGTAAATAGCTGTAGCACGGTACACAAGAGGCGAGTTGGAAGCACGGTCTTTATCCCACTGAGGCACCGTCGGCAATTTGATGACCTCTGGGCCTGTGACGCCATCGATATTAACAAGTGCTGCAGCAGCGGGGTAAAGACCTGCGTGGTTGATGTCGATGCTTGTTTTGGTGCTGGTGGTTATACCGCGAAGGTGGAGGATCTCGAGACCGACTATACCGACCATTGCATGTAGAACTGCTGTGACGGCTTGGGACTTGATTGGTCCTGGGATGCAGGGAAGATCATCGCCATGGAAGTTTACTCCGCTGAGGAGAGCTTCATCTTTGGTAAAACCGGGTGTTCTTGCAGCAAAGAGGCGTAGTAGTCTTTGACACTCAACAGGAAGTGGACTGAATTCCGTGTCGACAGTGGTTCCTGCACCGTAGGTATCTCCGGAAATTTTAGTGGTCATTATGGCGAGGGTGAGGTGAAGTGGATGGGCTATTGGATCTCTAGCTATTTACAGTCAAACTTGGGTTATGCTTCCAAGTATGGCCACCTTTATCGCTCCAGCTGATTTTCTCAACACAACAGATGTACTTCAATTGATGGAGAACATGAGCTTGCAATCTGGCCTTCACGGGTGCTCAGGCTCCGAAATTGCCGTTCATCGCCTTTCTTGGCCGTGGTCGGTCGGTAGATTTGAAGTCCGGCATCGGCTCCCCGGATTTGCCCCGGCTTAGGCACTGAACGCAGTTGTTGCAATGGATACATCGGATATGAGTTCGAGTGGTGAGCAAAGAGGAGGGTAATTAGCAGTTAATCTAATCACGTTATTTATCGATAGAAATATGACAATTTTGATCGTTTTTGTGAACAATCACTCCCTACTCATTAAATCTCTCTGAGCATTCGAAATGACCCAGGACATACGTACCGTAGCGATTGTTGGCTGCGGAGTGATTGGAATGGGATGGGCAACTCTGTTTCTGTCAAGGGGGCTCAAGGTCATCATCTCTGACCCCGCTGAAAATGCGGAAAATATCCTCAAAGAATATTTCGAGCAGTCAAAGTCGTATCTGGAAGGGTTTGGGGACTATGATGAGCTTGTCTCCAACTATGAGTTTGTTAACGACATCACACCGCGGTTAGCTGAGGCCGACTTTATCCAGGAGGTAAGTATACCCGTTATAGTATATATATATATCTGGAATGACGATGACGCTAACTGATCTCTTACAGAATGGACCTGAGAGGCTTGAGTTGAAAAGGGGCCTTATTGCAACATTGGACAAACATGCTCGGCCGGGTGTTGTGATAGCATCGTCCTCATCCGGCCTGCCATCTTCGGAATTTATACAGCAGTGCACGCAGGATTCCACCCGTGTACTCATCGGACACCCTTTCAACCCGCCCCACCTGATTCCTTTAGTCGAAGTCGTTCCTCATCCCGGCACAAGCAGTGAGTCTGTCAATATCACACTGAACTTCTACAGATCTGTTGGGAAGAGGCCGATACTTCTTCATCACGAAGTCCCTGGCTTTGTATCGAACCGCCTTCAAGCTGCTATCAACAATGAAGCGTATAGTCTTATCAGCAGGGGTATCGTGTCTGCGGGGGATCTCGATGCAGCTGTCACATCTGGACCTGGACTTCGTTGGGCTCTGACAGGCCCCATTGCGACAAATGCTCTTGGTGGCGGTGGCGGACCTGAAGGATTTTCACAGCGTATGGAGAGACTTGGGCCGGCGATTCGTGGATGGGAGGATGATATTCTGAAACATAGTTTTGACTGGAGCGAGCGGAGGATGCTGGCACTCCAAGAGAGCGTGGACAAAAGCTTGGGAGCTGTTGATTGGAATAAGTTGGTGGAAGAACGAGACTTGGTGCTACTCCAGCTTTTGGCTGCGAAGGAGAAGATGGCTTCTATCTCAACACCGTCAAGTCACTAATAAGATTCATTAGTCAGGAAATTATCCATAAATAGATGGTTTAGTATTTACATTCTGGGTTAGAACTCTCAGTGAACCTGTACATGGATAAGATCGTCTGTGACACATTACACTTCAACCCAGGCTGTACGTAGAACCAGCGCAGCAAATACTCTAGGTAAGGGCCAAGTTAGAAGGAGTCATGTAACCTCCTAGGGCATCAGGCGTTTATTATTCAGATGCACCAGCGTCGGGGAGCAAGAAAACACCAGGTCCTGATATGGAATGTTAAATAAACTTAGTCACATACATATAAGCTGAGGCTAAACTTGTATTAAATTACCTAAATCTTGTCCCGAGTTCTCTTCCCTCCCCTGGACTGGTAGTAAGACCGAGGCCGTCACGGGGTCGGCGCTAACATAGCGGAGACATTCATAGGACCCCCGGAAACCACCTTAAAATATTTTTCTCGGGGTCGGGGTTGAATAGATCGGGGATATCGGCGCACATTCCCTACAAGCTTGACCATGACTCATGCAGCATGTCAATCTTTGTCTCCTACTATAAATTGCGCCGGTAACGTCGTCGGATTAGAGACTTCCAGCTGATCAATGAATGCGGCAATTGGCAGAACCACCATGGACCCAGACATCGAACAAGCGAAGGTTGAAAAGCCGAACCCCGAACAACCCAAGCCTGGCACCGAGTTCCCAGATGGAGGGCTGAAAGCCTGGTCGGTCGTCCTGGGAAGCTTTTGCGGCCTCTTTGTCAGTTTCGGCTGGACTAATTGCGCAAGTATCGTCATAATATCGCTTTGTTCCCCAATTGCTAACTACAGATTCAGGTTGGAGTCTTTCAAGCATATTACGAAGCAAATCAGTTGCAGGACTTGTCACCGAGCACTGTCTCATGGATACCGGCCCTGTCGATGTTTATGATGTTCATTACGGTGAGTGCTAGCTGAGACTCCTTCCATGTCACGTATGCTTACGCTGCAACATAGGCACCTTTGGTTGGACGAGCCTTTGACATATTCGGTCCACGCTACCTTCTTCTTGCGGGAACACTACTGCATGTCTTTGGACTGATGATGGCATCAATATCATCCCAGTACTACCAGTTCATCCTCTCCCAGGCGGTTTGCAGTCCTCTTGGCGCAGCTATGGTTCTGTATCCGTCATTCAGCAGTGTCACAACCTGGTTTCGACAAAAGCGTGCTCTGGCCCTTGGAATCACCGCCAGCGGCTCTAGTCTCGGCGGTACTGTCTTACCTATTGTGGTAAATCGCTTGATACCCCGTATTGGCTTTGGTTGGACGATGAGAGTTTGCGCTTTCCTGTTGTCAGGTCTGCTCCTCGTGACGAATTTGACCGTTCGGTCACGGGTTGCACCTCAGCCAAAGGAAGCGGGCGTCATGGCTTATCTCCGGCCATTTACATCGCTCTCGTTTGTGCTTACCTCGATGGCGGGGTTCTTCTACTCCATGGGCATGTTTATACCCATTACTTTCATGGTAACCTATGGTGAACACGTCGGTCTTTCAAATAATATGGCTGGGTATCTAGTCTCAATTTTCAATGCATCAAGGTGAGTCTTATCCACAGTTATGGTAATGGCTTGATATATGTCGCACCACGATATTGACCGCAACAGTGGAATCGGGCGTATTCTTCCGGGGTATATAGCAGACAAAGTTGGCAGCTTCAACGTGTCAATAGCAGCTGCAACACTCTCAACAATATTCATGCTAGCATTGTGGCTGCCAGGACATAGCCATGAGTCGGCCATAGCTTTTGCCGCCTTGTTTGGATTTAGTTCGGGCACATACACAGCCATCAGCCCTGCCTTGATAGCGCATATTTCGGACCTCGAAGAGATAGGAACCCGCTCTGGGACCATGTACGCGTTTATGTCTGTAGCTGCCCTCACTGGCAGTCCCATCGGGGGGGCTTTGATCTCGAGCGCAGACGGGAGCTATTGGAAGCTTCAAGTTTTTGCTGGCTGCATGCTTGGTGCTGGCACTGTGTGCTACGTCGCTGTCAGACTGTATCTTACTAAAGGTAGGCTGTGGCAAAAGATATAATGCCTCCCTGCTGCAGTATGACCAAGGTAGATAGCAACTTGGGGCGGAGATATCGCCGTTGCCCGTTGGAACCACGAGGTCATTGATGTTACCATTTAATGCAGCCATTCAAAAGTAAATAGGAATTTGGCTACGAGATCTACACTAGAGATCTAAGTGCAAGGAATACAGAGGTCAAAAAAGGCTGCGATTGGCCATGTTGCACCACGAAAAACTGCAGCTCAAGATAGTAATGGAAAGGATATCTTGATCTTTTGTGTTGTACAACCAAGTGTATTCAAAACTATCATTTCATTGTGTAATCTACCTCTTCTCCATCCAAAAGTCGAACCATTCAACAAAGCTTTTGAAGCTCGCCTCCTTAGCCCACTTCTCATAAAGGTCAGTCAAACGGGCTCGCGACTTGGCCAAGATGTCAGTACAGGGGCAGTCTTTGACTCATAAAAAGATCTTACCGCAAAGCCATGTCCAACATTGGCAAAGACTTGCATGTTGAACTGCTTGTTATTTTCTGTCAGTATCTCGATGGTCCTGCTTCTCTGGTCTGGCTGGAAAAGCTTGTCTGTGCTGGGCACTGAGAAGAAGATAGGCTCTGATAACGATTAGCTTGTCTTTGTTGAACCGGATTATTTGCTTACCTTGGACGTAAAAGACATCGCTTTCTTTCAGGAATGAAGGATGGGCGATGGCGCCAACTTTACAGATCCCATCTGCAGACAATTGTTGGCAAACGAAGCGTGCACCCCAACTGGTACATGTTGAGTCAGTCAAATGGAGGCTCATACGATGGTAGACTCATACCAGTAGCCAACGCAAGCAAACTTGACGTCCTCGCCTGTGCTGTACTGCGTCTTCACGGCCTTGACCCATCTGGCAGCAGCCTGCTCAGACGCTTTGAGATGCTTGTTCTTCCAAGACTCAAAGTCAAAGTTTGGGTCGCTCAACGGTGTCAAGGAGTGTTTCGTAACGGGGTCCTACAACGGTCAGCTTGATGCACCCCGCCAAGTAAGGTCCCATTCTTACACCAAGGAAGTAATCGACACCAAGAGTTAGGTACCCGCACTCGGCGAAAGCATCCATCATAAGGAAGCTATTGGTATGCAGCCCGAATGCATCTGGAAAGAAAAGAAGAATGTTCCCATTGGATCTGTCGGGATGAGGTTTGGCTACATAAGTGTCGATACCGTCAATCTGGATTGTAGAACCAGTAGCTTCTCCGGAATGAAACGATCCTTTGAGACAACAGAGGTCTGCAGGTTTGGCGAGTACGTTATCCATTGTCGTTGGTACTGTTCACTGTTTTCTTGTCTAGAATGAGTCTAATTTTAGCTGTGAGATATAGTTTAGTGGTTGCCGGGATCATCGGGAAGAGCTCCCCGACAAGTTGATGACTTATTCCTCATGACGCGGTGTCGCGGGGTAACTCCAAGTGACCTACGACCGGGTACCAATCCAGGTCTACATGAGCAGAACACGTTCGTTTCTCTTGTGGCACATAAATAAAAGACTGTTCTTATAGAACATTATCAGCCTCGGCTTTCCGAGGGGTCTTGAGTTCGTCCTTGCCATGTATGCTGCTTTCACCCGGCCAATATCCAGATCAGCAAACGAAAGGTAATTCATTGCTTAGTGTGGTTAGCATGTCAGAGCCTTTGATAGATAGACATATGTTGGCATCCGGGATGGCGAGCTTTAGATGTATCACTTCGCTGAAAGGGACAGGCTCTTCCAGGCGCAAATCGCAGACAGGGTTCAATTACTGCTAACATCAGGTACAAAGTAAAGCTAGTACAACCGCTTCAAGATCTGCCTGACTATCCCTCGCTTTGATCTTCTACAAACCCCTTGTCCCGAAAACGCAAATGCAGGGCTGTCCACATACCAAACAGACGTTATTCTCCTACCCCAGTCCAGCCACCAAATCGTAATTATTTTATCAGTCCTACTGCTGCGAATTAGCTAGCTATGCCTCGACGGAAGGTGTGTTTAGGCTTACCAGGATGATCCCCTGCCCATATTGATCAACATAAAACATAAGCAAAATTGCTGAGTGGTGACTGCTGGCTAGTCTCTAGAGATTGTTCTCTTGCATCGCGCTTCGTATTCCATGTAACGGAGTCCGCCATCGATATACCAAAGTCACGAGACCTCTGGTCGTTACCTTTCGGACTCTTACTCCTCGTCACACTCTCGCTTCTCGCCTTTTGGATCCGAAGGCACCGCCTGATTCGAGTCGACTGGGTCAGGAGGAGAATAGTACTGCGGGCCGACCAGCTCAGCCCGGAAGCGCTCTGCAAAGGTCGAGTACGGTTTAAAAGGTACCACTACGTAGTTGACAGTCGGAAAGATGAAGTCTTCGATGGTGCGGGTAGGACAATCCAGACTTTCGAGGAGCTGGCGCGGAATATCCGCCTTGTAGACGTACGCATTGGTAACATCGGCCAGGTTCGTGACGAGTAGGCGTGCCTGGGGAATACCAAGTTAGTGAATATGTCAGGTATAGCGGGAACGGAAAAGATGTTTACCAGGAACGGTCCCTTCGGAGCAGCGAGAGCATGGCGTTTCTGGAGTTGAGCCAAGCTCATCAGGAGGCAAACCAAGTATGGGTCATGTCGCCAGTCTGTCGGATGTTCTGAGCAGGTTTGTTGATGCGCCCCCTCGGGGCCCGATTTGCGACAAGCTTGTTCCGGCGTTCCTTGTCGGCAGTGTACTTATAGTACCCGATGATAGGATTGGCATGCGGCATGGAAATCTTTTCCTTGACGCAGTAGATGCGGACCTAGGAATTGTACAGGCGAATGATACATTGGCCATAGTGAAAGGTGAGCCAATAGCTACACAGATTAATTACACTTGTACAGTTGAGTTCAGAATGGGCTTGACTTACTCGGTATATGTTATGGGGGTGGGCTCATTATTACAGAGAAGGGCGTCGACCTTGTAGCCCTTCCTTTCCGCGAACTTGTCGCGAGCGAGGGCCAAAGCCCATTCCGCCATGTCTTCGGCTTGTTTGGTGTCAAGAATCACAGGCTCATGTGCATTCTCGCTTTCGACCTGCTGGAAGCTGCACTTTACGACGGAAAGATGGTGCGAAGTCCAGAATCGTGGGTGTGTAGCAAAGTCGGGATGCTCAACACTTAGGCTGTGAAAGGATTTGAAAGTTGACTGAGGCATGGTCGTGTCGATGATGGCTCAGTGTCCGGTGGTGGGGTCTTGCTTTTCGTCGCAGGCCAAGGCTAGTGGAAGAGGTTAAAGAAGAGGAAGGGAATGTTGAGGGATGAATGGAATAAAAGAAGTCTCAGGCTGGCGATGTAGGTAGCAGCAGCACGGCCAGGCTGTTCAAATCACAGTGGCAGTCGACTTGGGCGTGACGCGTTGTTTACCTCAACTCAACTTATAGCAGTGGATGTAAGGCAGCAGTAACTAAGCACATCTAACCAGACTAAATGCGCTTGGACTCACTGTGGTTTCTCACACCGCACATGTGCAAGGCAGTGTCAACTACTGAAAACCACTACCCATCGTGATCGAGCAGGGCGCTCAACTTGTTCAAAGTTACGATCCTACAAAGGATCGCCACATGAGCTCCCTGTCCACTGTAATTGATGCTTGGCTGCTCCAAAAATCAATAATATTATGGTTTCGTCACTGTCGTGTTCACATCGCTAGCGATGAATATTTCGCATTCCAAGCCAAAGCAATTATATTTGTCACGCCAACAGCTTCTGCGAACAAAACGATTCTCACCCGCTGATCCTTACTATCAACGTTTTGTTCCGAATTGTTTAGTCTTCTGTGGCCGGTCACCAGCTAGCCTGAACACTCAACTTTCAACGCACTGAGGCCTATCCTGAAACCAGATGAACAAGATGAACACAAAAGAATGACAAACAATGAGCATTGTGATCTTTTGTTTTTTATTGTTTTTCTATATGATTTCAGGCAATCAGAACGAACAGATACTTGTATACACTGCTCTGCTTTGCTCAAATGCTTTAGTGAACGTTATGTTCTGATCGTGGGGAGTCAGTCATAGGTCGGGCAAAGCCGACGCTTCTTCTTCTTCTTCCCCGTCCATTTGTCCCAGGTACTCCGCCAGCTGTAGTACATTCTTAACAATACACTTTCTATCAGGTAGGTGTTCCAAATTCAACCGACGTGTCGCTGTGACTTTGATAGCTTTAGCTGGGATTCTCCCATGCTTAAGATCCTCGAGATGATCTGCCGTGATGATAAAGTGGAAGAAGCATATGTACTGCTGAGTAGTCTTGACAATAAAAATGTCATGGCGTTCACTATCTGCTTCACGAGATGATCGCGCGGCAATAGCCTCGCATGTCATTTGCCCCAGTCATTCCTCGGACACAAATGGCCGGTTAGCCACCTCACAGATATCGAGTCGCCTTTTTGCCTCTATCCAGACGACCGACTTTTCAGTCTTTTCTCCTTCACTCTTTATCAGAATCAGTCCTCCATCATTAATTGCCGTGATGCGTTTGTTTTCCATCTGGATAAAGCACCTCTCTGACTGGCGGATCTCAAAGGGCGTGTTCAAGCTAGGGTTTTGAGTGTACAAGAGGATATGATTGACGGCGGGCCATATCGTGGTCGAATACTGGTTGTGAGGTGCTTGATCCAAGTCTCAGCTTTCAGATCTTTCAACTCATGATAGAACCCTCGGAAACACTGGCGTGACAAGAGGCCTAAGCATTTTCTGGAGAGATATAAGATCGTGGGTCTGCTTGAATGAGAAGGGACAATTGAAGATAAAGATAAACATTGTCATCATTCCCTCTTTCAAGCTTTTTCATGAATCAGGTTCACATATGTTGACCTGTACTGTTCAGTGTCGTTCTGCGAGTGCCGAATCATGCTAAATCACTTTATTCTAATCAAGGACCAGCGTACTGCCTATCTATTAACCTGAGTCGTCTTCCTGCTGGACCGCTCTCCTACAAACAAAACTGACAAACCCTCAGACAGGGACGCATGTGAACACTCTGGTATAACCTGAAATTTCAGTTCCAGTTGCGGATTTCGAGATAAAAGATAATAATATCATGGGCTAGTAGCATGCGAACAAAGCATATGTCCCTGCGAGGGACGTTTAGGAGAGCTTCTCAGAGAACAATGGCTAAGGCTGTTAAGTATCGTGTGATCTGAGGCAAATACAACAGTGCCGCTGTTCAGGCAGTGACAGTTTGTGTGCCTTAGTGTCCTGTTGGTCTGCCGCTGAAGACCTTGGCACAGCCACAGATGCATAAATCCTCTCGTCTGCCACTGGCCCTCATAGGGGTAGTGACACTGGAATCAGAGATCTTGGGCAAGCAGATGAACAAGTTTGAAAACAGACATCTCTTTTCCTTCCTTCTTTCTTCCTTTCTTCTCTTCATCCAACACACTCGCACCAACACCAAGATTATCAACATCAACATCAACCACAACAGCGATACCCAAACTCACTCTCCTAGTCAGTCAGTGAGTATCGAGAATCATCATTTTCGATCAGAAGTACCATCCCCCAGCATCAAACACACCCAACCCTGCTGACACATAGTCACTCACTAGAAAATCATGCCTAGCGTCCCAGTAATCAGCTTCTGCGCCGTCGGTCAACTGGGCTTTTGGAAGGCAGCCATTCACGAGATGAAAGAGACCTACCCACCCCTACGCACCGGTGCGCCTCGCCGCGCGCCAACCTATATGCCTCCATTCCTGCCCGCCAAAGAGGCAATGGATGAAATGTATCGTTTCCAGTCGGCGGTATATCAGAGCATCGCGTGGCTGCGTGATTACGCGACTGATGCTGAAGGTATCATGGTTCTGCGAGTTATCGAGTCGCTCGCAGAAGGCCAGCGAATTGAGACCCGTCGTATCCAGCACAAGATCTGGACACTGCATCCGGCACGCATGCTTCGTGAGTTTCGAGATGGAAACTTTCATTTTGTCGATGGAGAGCCTGTCATGGGCCTCGGCCCTAATGCCAATGCTGGTGCCAATGCTGGTGCCGATGCTGGGGGTAACGCTGCCGGAAATGCTGGTGATAACTGAGTTCTGATGCGGCGGATTACAGAGCATGTCATCCTGTAAGAAGGTTCTTTGAAGGATAAGCTAAGAAGGCCTGGAAGAAGTGTTAGTCATTTGAGGGATTTGTGTGAGCGCAGCACTACAGTATAATTCTGTTTACGAAGGACGCTTTGGAGGTTGTTGGCGTTTTGCTTCGATACCCGAATTGATGCCAGGTTGTCATTGAGAACTACTATTGCTTGTGATTATATCTGTGAGTGAGGCTAAAAGTCCCCCTCAAGAACCTCAGTTGTTGATGTCGAGTCTTGCAACCGGCTCTACGACGAAATGATGATGAATGTGAGATCAATGTGAGATCAATGTGACAAGCCCCATAGATAATTAACTATAGCTGCGAAACCAAAAGATGATGCTTTAAAAGGTTATTTGTTTATTTGTACGAAATCAGTCTGATAACTATAACGAATGTGCTTTTTTCTTTACGATTTTGTTTAGAAAATCGGGAACCAAACCGTCCTGTCCCAATCAACATTCTGGTCCTTGGCCTCAATTCGTTCGTGACATGTTCCAAAGAGTGTATCCCAAACCCGGGTTTGCTTTCCGTAATTATGACTCTTTCTATATCCCTTTCGATGATGAAGGTCATGATCTTCAATAATCAACTCCATACCGACACCCTTCAAGAGCCAGGCCAAGGTCGATGGAGGCATGCCGTAGATTCGAAGACCACTGTGACCTAGAACCTCAGTGAAGGCGATGTACTGATGGCAGATCCACCAGTCATAATAGCCGAGTGGAAGACCGAGGACTTGGAAGGTCGCCCAGGTCAGGAAGGGAATGCCAACCATATCGAAGAATTCCTGCTCGTGGTCGGCAAAAGCGGCGAGGAGAGAGTTGGGGTGCTTGGTCAGATGGTGAGTGCGGTGATACTTCCACAGCCAGTCGATGTCGTGCATGGCGCGGTGATAAACGTAGAACCAGAAATCGAGGACGATGCCGTAAAGACCGATCTGAAGCCACAGCCAAGCCCACCACTTGGGGTCGCTCATCACATCAGCAGGGGTTTGTGTCGCTCTGTAGGTGAGATGTGTCGCCATAAAGATCCTCGACCCTGTAGTCTTCCAAAGCGAGGAAACGACCTTATCAACACCGATATCAGGAATTCCATCTCTCTGATGAGCATCTCCATCTAAGAATCCATATTGATGCCCGAGCTTTGCGGTAGCTTTTACAGAACGTACAACGGACCAGCTAAAGGATGCAAAGTAGAGCATAAAGACAATGAATGGATGTAGTGCTTGGCCGGTTGACGAGAGCCATGATTGATGTATGATTATCGGCACAAACGCGTGCAAGAGGATCCATACGTGGCTTTGCCATTGGGAGAAGTGAGGAATGCGTTCGGACTTGGCGTGTACTGGGACTTCTTTGCCTGGAATAATGGGATAGGTGCCTAAGACGTGGATGATTTGTTGATGAACATTCCACTCTGACTTGTCGGCGAGTGGCCAGGTCGACTTCATTGACTGAGTCGTCGTCGTCATTGTAAAGGTCGTATATCGTAATCAAGATCAGATAAGAAGTTGCTTTTTTTTTTTTTTTGGTGTTTGACTGTGGTCAATGCGTGTTATCAGATATGATGAATCACCGGAGATCTCAGCCTTTAATACTTATCGATCGATCTTGGACGGGATGTTGAAGTGGCCGACCAAATGAATCTTGGATCGAAAGCCGAGGCAAGTTTTGAAGAGGGGCACACATTGCAAAAGGTGAATGCGACAAAGTGTCATGATCATGTGCGCGATAGCATCATCCCGCAATTCGCAAACTTAGCCCTTTGTGTACTTACCCACTCTCAGCAAGGGCGACGGCGCCAACGACTTGGATTGGTATAGGTTATTTGGGCTAAAATGGATATTCTGGGGTAGCTGGGATACCCTTGAACAAGCTGCAGCGCTGTGAGAGGGCTATTTGCTATCAGATCATCTTCACATGTCCTCCCTCAGCTCGATCCTTTACGTTGTCGCAAACTTGGCTTGAATGGAAGTGCATGACGAAAGAATGTGACGTAAGTTTAGATCTGTCGATCATCCCCAACATTTATTTTGGGCTTCTCCAACTTATGTTCGTTTCATTTGGGCGGCCAT